AGGAAGGTGTAATGGAAAGTAAAGTATTTGTAGTTGGCGAATATTGCACAATAATTAATCAAGTCAATAAACTCAAAAAAACGCACGAGTAGGCATACTTGTGCGAGGAGTGCGATATTCGCTAATTCAACAAATAAATTGTGATTGTTATATTGGTAATGAGAAGTAAGCTAAACTTAGACCTGTAATGTAGTCGTCGTAAGAATAAATAAAGAAAAAACTTATTTTAAATAAATTACACTCCAAACCCAAAAAGAAATCATACAGAAATGAAAAGAACAGTATAAACATTACAAAACATATTCCCCAAATTTCGTTGTCCTAGCGTTTATGGTTTTTGAGAAAAACAAATTAAACCAAAATTTTCCGCCATTTTTGGAGGGATGTAGCCCAAGTCGCCCATGGTTTATATATCAAAGTACCCTCAAAATTGCCTCAAGAATCACCCCTTGAAGTTTGTTGCAGTCATTAAGACACATCATACAGGATGTACATACAACTGAATGACTGTATCTGTATGTCATTCAGATACAGCCTGTATATCGATGACATTATAATAGCTGCTAATGATGAAGAAGAGCATGATAAGATTTTACAGAAGGTTATTAACAGAGCAAAATCTTTAAATATTAAATTTAATAAGAATAAAATACAATTCAAGGTTAACATAGTAAAGTACTTGGGACATATATTTAGTAGGGAAGGTATGAGACCAGACCCAGCTAAAATTAAAGCTATAGTAGAGTTAAAGGCGCCAAGTAATAGAAAAGAATTACAAAGATCTTAGAGTATTTATACCAAACATGGCTGAGTTGACAGCATCGATAAGACAATTATTAAAAGACAAAATTATGTTTCAATGGTTAAGTTGCCACGATGAAGCTTTTACCAAAATAAAACAAATTCTATGTGATGATACAGTGTTGACTAATTTCGATGAAAAAATTATGCCACTAATACAGACTGATGCATCCCGAGATAGCATTGGATGTGTATTGTTGCAGAACGGCAAGCCTATGGCGTACGCATCGAAGGCGTTATCGGAGGCAGAGCAGGGATATGCTCAGATCGAAAAAGAGATTTTGGCGGTAGCGTATTCATTGAAAACGTTTCATTATTATGTTTATGGAAGAAAGACCAGAAGGACTAATGCTGTTAAAGGATTATTACTACAATGGTTGGCCGAAAACATTGAAATTAACTAACGACAAGATTAAAGGATACTGGAATTTAATAAATGATATTTACATGGCTGATGGATTAATGTTATATAAACACAGAGTAATAGTACCAAAGAAGTTAAGGTCAGAGATGTTACATATTTTGCATGAAGGGCATTTCGGCCTAACTAAAATTAAGCTGAGAGCTAAAAAAGTAATGTATTAGCCTCAGATGTACGAGCAAATAAATGACATGGTACGTAAATGCACAGTATATGTGAGAGATCCATTGAAAGAACCATTATTACCCCATGAATTACTTAAATACCCCTACCAAAAAATAGCAATGGATATTTTAGATTTCGCAGGTAAATCTTACCTTTGCGTGGTGGATTATTATTCTAAATGGTTAGATATTTTACCATTACAATCAAAGACAGCCATAGATGTAATTAAAAAGTTGAAACCTCTCTTTTCGACTCATGGTATCCCAAATGTGGTTATTGCGGATAATATATCTTTCGGAACTTACGAGTTTAGAAAATTTGTGGAGAATTATGATTTCACGATTAGAATAACTAGTCCGCATTACAGTAGGTCCAATGGGTTAGCTGAAAGATTTGTGCAAATAGCCAAGAACATTATCAGAAAGGAAGTGAATTGTCTACAGCTTTATTGGAATACCGCACGACGCCTCTATCAAAGATTGGCTTGGCTCCTTGTCAATTGTTATTCAATAGAAGAATAAAAGGTCGGTTACCGATAACTGATAAGTTGTTAACAGAAAAAGTGTCGGATAAGAAAATCTGGAATAAAATGAAGCTCAAACAAGACTTATACAAAGAATACCATGACAAAAAATCGAAGAAATTATCATCATTGCAAACAGGCGATAATGTATTAATGAACGTGGACAGAAATATGAACAAGGAATGGGAAAGTGGTGTTATAACAGGAATCACAGAGACTCCTAGATCATATTTAGTGAAAAATGAAAGGTTAGAGTTAGTGATACTTTTGATACTAATGTTAGAATAAGTAATGATAGTATGGTTAAGGTTGCGACTCCTGAAACTAATGTCAACATTTCTAATAAATTTTTGCGGAGTGAATACTGTACAACTTATTATTATTTTCGCATAATAATTCTTTTCTTTATATTGTCACAAATTTGTTATTATTTTTTACTACTGTAGTTTTTTTTTCTTTTCTACTACTATACAGTTCATATTTTTTAAACCAACAGTATTTTTGTTTTATTTTGATCGTATCGTTTAATTAATTTTCATTTGATGAAACAATTGTTGATTTATTATTAGAATGTGAGGGGATTG